TTTTTTTTTTTTTTTTGGTTTTTCTCTGGTACCGGGAACCAAACTCACAACCTTGTGCTTGCCAGGCAGGCGCTTTGCCGCTGAGCTAAATCCCCAGCCCCTTGTTACATCTTTTGATCTTTACAGTAACTAGGTGTGAAATTTTATTCTAATAATAGAATTGCTGAGGGAAAATTCAAATTATACACTTAAATTTCTAAAAGAATTAGTATTCTTTAAATGTTCTTAAATACCCCAAATAAATGTTGATAGGAAATATATGCCACAAGTGTGATACATACATAACAGGCCTGTGTCATTGAATGAATAAAGTTATCATTACCTTTGCTTTATGAAGGTCAACTCCATACATAGACAACTTTTTGGCATTCTCCAGAAATTCCAAGTCAGCCTGAGCTGGAGTCATGGACCTTTGATACAATAAAAATTAAAAATTCAGTGCCACAGTATCAACACTTATAGTAATAACAGTTGTGTATTTGTTGTACCTTATATAAATATATATATATATATAAATATATATAAATATGTACATAAAATATATTTCATACTCCCAAAAACAGATTAGGGAATTTTATCACTAACAGTGTCTAAATAATTAAAGTATGTCTAAGAAAAAGAGATCTTGAGGAAACAAAAATTCACCAAAAAATCTATCAGAAAAAAACTCTTTTCAATCCTACTAAACAATTTCCTTAAAGCTACCTAAGATCAACTATCATCAGTTCTCTCTTCAGTGTTTTTCTTTCCCTACATCATACATAAATTCATCCCGCTAATTTTCTGGGCAGAGAGATGACTAAATTAAATTCTCAGGGAGGATAGTGCAATTTACAAGATCCTCTTAGCTGCCTTTTTCTTTATATATATCCCTGAATTGAGTTATTATGGAGGGCAGCTGACATTACTTAAGTAGACTCTTAATGGGGGCAAGTTTGATGAAAAGAAAATTTCTGGTAACAGATGGTGTCCTACCCGCTGATCTACACAAAATCAATTGGTTAACAGAAGCATATGGATAATGAGACTGCTTTCTGTTTTAAAGACGTCTTCATTACTAGGCATAGAATGAATTAGATTTGTTTGAAAACAATCAGTCTCACTGTCTAAACATTCACCCTGACAGTCTTTCCTTTTCCTTTAGAAGTTTCCTCTCCTTTGAGAAGTGCTCCCAAGCTGTTATGTTGAGTTTTCAGGATAAAGACATTATCCTACTGCTGCACAATTCAGACTAATCAAGTATAACTTCAGAGTTACAGCACAGACACAACCCCCAAGGAAAAACATGGAAATGCCAGTCTCCCAGAAGACTGCCTCACGCTGTAGGGAGCAGTAAGGGATCTCTTCATTTAACAAGAGTCTCTCCCAAACCCATCTGTCTTTATCCTCGTTAAAAAGAACAAAGGAATCCTTGGAACAACAACAACCAAAAGGAAAAAACCTCAGGAAAGAGGCTGCAGATTTGTTAATAATGCAGCTTTCCTAAACAAACTTCTTTCCCGCAAGCTCTAAAGCATCACATTTGAAGTCTATTTATTAATGGACCTAAATTAGAAGATTAAAGAAAAAGGTGAATGAAAAAATTAACTCATATTCAAGTCAATCAAAAGAAAGTTTTGCAGCTGTATATATATATTTTTCCACCCAAGTGATATACCTGCACTTTTCTAGTTAAGGTTACTACCAGTTATTTTATAATTTTGGTGTTGCTACTATTATCAGTGGAGTGAATTTTAAAGTTGGAATGGAACTTGAAGATCACAGAGTTCAATATTTTCATTTTTCTGATGAAGAAACAGGCCCAGGGATCACATGATCACAGCATGTTAGGATCTTAGTTTGAAGCAGCAGGATTAAACCAGGTCTCAAGTCACATACTTGGGTCCTTGAGTCCTGGCTATTACACACAGCAGTGGTGAGCCAGTGTCTTCCTCAAGCTCCTCTAGGAAGTATCACATCTATTGTAAGATACCAGATTGCCACTGGCTTTTTTTAAATCTTTGCTAAATAAATGAATGTGATTATTAGGATCAAATAATATAATGGTTATAAAACTGCTTTGTAAACTGTTTTTTTGTTTTGTTTTCTTGAGACATGGTCTCGCTTTGTAGTTCAGGCTTGCCTTGAAGCAATCCTCTTGCCTCAGCCTCCTGAGTACTGGGATTACAGGTATATGCCACCATGCCCAGTTGTAAACTACTTTAAGTACTTCTTATTATTGCAACTTTAGTTTTCTGATAGTCCAGTGGTTTGTCATAACATAAGATTCAGAAAGATAACTGGGTCACTTGAATTTGAAGACAAATTTTAAAACATTAAATGAAGCAAACATGATAAAATCTTCCCTGTGTTTACTCTTTCAACCCTAAGAGGCATCATGGGTCAATTAACTTGACACTTCTTTTTTTTTTTTTTTTTTGAGTCAGGGTCTTGCTGTGTAGCCAAGGCTGGCCTCGAACTTGCAGTGATCCTCTTGCCTCAGCTGGCCAAGTGCTGGAATAACAGGCATGTGTCACCACACCTAGCCTGGGTCAATTAATTTAAATATAGATTTAAATTTCATAAACATACTTTAAAATTGTATTAAGAATAGTTTTTGAGGGGCCAGGGATATAGCTCAGTGGCACAAGCGCCTGCCTGGCAAGCGCAAGGTCCTGAGTTCGATTCCTGGTACAAAAAAAAAAAAAGGAACAGTTTTTGACACAGGGTCTTACTAGGTAGCCCAGGCCAACCTTGAACTCCCTATGTAGTCCAGGGTGGGCTTGAATTCTCAATCCTCCTGCCAAGTGTTGGGATTACAGATTTATACCTCCACACATAGCTGAGAAGGGATCTTTAAAATTTCTTAGTTGAAAATATATTTAAGCTTTGCGCAGTGGCAGTATTGTAACCAATGAGGTTTATCCGAGGGGTGATTATTGCTAATTGAAAATATATTTAAAGTTTGGCTAATGTTTGCATTTAGAAATTTTTTATATTATGTTGGATTTTTGAAATAATTATATTTTATTTTA